AACCAATTCGGTTATTATTTATCTTAGAGCATAAATTTTGATGACCTTAAAATAAGTTGCCAAGGTCATTATTTTTTACAATTGAGTCCTATGCATGTTAATGCTACGTAGTCTTAGTTTCTGAGGAACATAGGAAAGTATACTTAGTAAGGCCTTATTCAAATCTGATCCAGACATTCATGTTATTATGAGTTACTAACTCAGATCTGTCTCAGATCCAACTATTATGCGTGCAGTTATATAGACTATAATAATTATGTATCTTACTGTAGATAAATTTACATAATATTAAATAAATCTAGTGCCGAATATATTTCGCATACACCTCGGAAATTTAGACCGAACGACGGTAACATGTATAGGAAAATGTTATTCAGAATAATTAAAGCATATTTCTACACCAAATGTTTTCCTATGGCTAATTGAAAATGTCACAGGTCAACTATTTAGTGACACTTTGCCGCAGAGTATATATATATTACAAATAACATATTTTAAGATCATCAAAATCAGTGAAATCAGTGGTAAGATAAATAATTATCACCAATTCCTCCGAGTGCATAAAACTATGGCACTATTCATAACAAGTAAACTCCTCTAATACTGCGACGAGTGTTTACTGAATGAGAACGGTATGAAACTTACAGTGTACATGCCTTCTATTTTGATATGTTTTCAGCTAAACGATGTGTGATGTACAAACATGCGATACTAGTGCCCTGTGTTCACGATAAAATTTTGTTTTAAGAGAATTGTGTGTAATGAACACGATTTGAAGGTACATTTTCGCGGCAAGTTTTTATCGATCGTATAATTTCGTTGACTTTGACGATAAACACTTGTGAGTTTGTTTTTCAGTGGAGCATATCACAACACTGGGAGCGCAGAACTATGACTTTGATATATAATGGCTCCTGTGAAATTGATTGCCGCTGCCAACACGAAAACTGGCATCCAACGGCCATGTGAAGCAGTCACTAACTCCGCCGTTAACGGTCCACATAAAATACCCGGTATAGTCGCCTAAAAATGTATATTAATTTGTCTTTCATATAACAACAACTGAAAAAACACACCATGATGACGATTTTAAAAATCGATCCCTCTGTTCTTTGCATTTTCTGAAATTAAATCAAAATTACGAAAGCACACATTCTAAGAAAGATAGAATGGAAATACTAATCTAAAGCGTTTATGTCAATTACCTATTTATTTAAATATAGAAAATCCTAGGAAAAAGATTTTTACAACTGTCATCACGGTGTTCATTTTTAATAAATGATAATTAAAACATACAATAGTATTAGAAACTGCAAATGTGATACCCGCATGATTTGGTGCTACATCTGCATGATTACTAAGATGGCCAGCAGCATTACATGCACAAAGACCCATGGATATCGAAACAAAGCTACAATGAATAAAAAGTTATAATGTATAATACAAATTTTATGTACTATATAACTTTGTCGCATCAAATTTAGTACTAACATTACTGCAGAAAGTAAGTTATCCACAGCACAAAATGCTACTAAAAATGCACCAGGCCCTATTAAACCTATATTTGTCATTAATCTTCTTACAGATAAAACAGTCCACCTTTTCTGTATGAGATTATCGGCACTGTGACCAGCAACTGTAAAGATATATATTTTAATCATTCATATATATGTTATTAGAAACGTTTACGTTATTATAAACACACGAAATATATGTAGAGAATAATGAACATAAAGACATATTTCTATGCCTCAAAGTTTCCCTGTTGGTTGATACCTACCAATTCCAACAAGAGAATTTACAATGTATGGAAGCGCTGTTAAACTAATACTTTCTTTATTAGCAGACAAATTTCGTGCCAAGTAAGTAGGCAACCATTGCATTATTATATAACTACTCCAATTCATTGCAAAATGTGCTATGTACAATGCCCATAAAGGCCAATGAGAGATGAATTCGGTCCATCGCAAATTCCTATTTTGTGGCACCTTAAAGACAATAAAATGTTGATAAGGTTTAAGTTTATTTCAGTTTATAATTTAAATTGAAAGGAAATGTGAAACTACCTTAGGTACAAATAAAGGAATTTCTTCCTGAGAGTTTGTTTCCTGATAAAGTAATAACCATAGAAGTGACCATACAATTCCAATTGCTCCAAATAAATAAAATCCTGTTTGCCATGCTAAACGCGAACACAACTGAAAGAATTTCTCAATTGAAATTATGTAAACTATGAAGCAATAAAGAAATATTAGATTATAGAGAGAAAAGTTAAACCTACAATGGACGCAACTACTTGTCCAATTGAACCAGCAGCTACATGGTACCCAAATGCACGAGAACGTTCCTCTACAGGAATAGCATGAGCAAACAAGTGAAAAGTAACTGGTAGACCTAAAAACAATATAGTGTTCAATAAAGGGCACATTGCAAATCATAGTACATGATGAAGGCTGACGATTCTATGAAAAACAATAAATTGAAAATGTAGACTAAAATTTGTTCGTACGAAACCTTATTTAATATTTATTGAGCATATGCGTACTTCGCTAATTTATTGTCTGAATATAATTGATTCATTTGAAAGCTTGTCAAACTACATGTGAAAATAAATAAAATATGTAGAATATAATTCTATATTCCACATCTTATTTTCATAAATATTAAGTTTGGACATATTCTGTAAAGTATCTTGTTCAATAAAATAAATCTATTTTGTATTTTTAATTTTGTTTTACATGTTGAACAATTCTCTGTTGTTCATACCATATACATATATAGAATTAATAGTTGATCTAGTGCATTTGTATTGAACAAATTTTCAAGTGGTTATCAAATATATTTTCTTAGAAATGGAATTTTAGGTAATTAAATTGTGTTTTATGTTTGGGACTTATTCCCATATAAAATCACTGTAGCGATAGAGTAATATGAAATAATAAGATT